GTCAACGCTGTGCAGATGTTTGGTACTCTCCCGGTCATGATCATTCGGCAAGCCAGTGTAGCGAAGGTACAGAAGGAGCAGGTGCAAGTGGTGTGCAGGCACAAGAAACCTGTGCAAACCAACATTGCACGATTGCGCAAGAAGCTCTGATGAGACAAGATGAAGAGGATTCTCCAAATTGTACCGATGCACATGCGGCAAAGATGCAAAGCCATGAACATGCTGCGCATTCCGTACAAGGAGTACAAGTTGAGGGTACACCCTCCATTGGCAGAGGGCAAGTGGTCTCAACCACGGGCAGTATCAGTGCTGCAAAAGGCTGGCAGGCCTTGCAAGACGGTACCTTCTCTGAGCAAAGGCATGCTTTTCATGGTTCTGTGCAAAGTATGTCAGCTGGCTCTCATGGTGTTTGTTGTGATGTTGCATCAGGAGTTGGAGATGACATTGCGACTACGAGTCAAGAATGTCAGAGTGACAACAGGGAGGATCCTATGTCGGGCCCAAGTACAAGCAATGCAAGGGAAGGTGTATTTGCCATTGCCACAGACGATGTGCTGTCTAAGCGTGTCCGAATCTATTCCAGACCCAGCATTGTAGAAGGTCAACGCTGTGTAGATGCCCAGTATCTTTCCTGTGGTGATCATTCGGCGAGCAAGTGCGAAGGAGCAGGCACGAGTGCGAAGCAGCAACACGGGACCGGTGCGGAAGCAGCTTCGACCAGAGAAGAGGACTATGGAGAGGAGGGACTTGCAGAGGGACTTGCACCATCCAGATTCCGACAGGCTGACAAGCCGATCACAGGTGACTTGGGCCCATGGGATGGAACATACTGTAAGACCGCTGACAAGCCCACCAGCGAAATTCCAAGGTGAATCATGAAACATCGTGATCCTCATAGATTGTATAGAAATCTCATAAACATCGTGATCCTGGAATCCTATGGATGATATGGAGTCAACTCATTCTCGTCGGATGGAAACGGATGTGAAGATCCGATCAACGTCCAGTGGATCGAGTTCGAGGTTCGAGGTTCGAGTTCGAGGACCTACCTGGCTGGCTTCGCCCCAGCCCACCACTAAGGGGACCTCAGACAGGACACCCCTTGAAGGTCCAGGTAGATTGTGTACCTAGAACCTGAGTGACCTCTATTTTGGACCACCAACCACCCAAAAGATGGCCTTTTCCTATCAAAACAGAGGCCATGTCTGGGTTCTAGGTAGAATAGGGACCCTTTTTCAGGACGCCTTGATTGGCTTGCTACGCCACCATGTCGGCCTCGCCGTCTGCTTGGTCCGCGTTGCGCGGGTCGGCGCAAGCCCCATCCAACGATCACCTCGGCGAGAGAAACGTCGACCTTGACTTGATTTCCACACCAAGATGTGGGGCAAAAGTCTAAAACCAATGAACTTGGATGCAATAGAATCAATAGAACGATAGGAAACAACACACCCCACGAAGTTACTATAGGGCCTTCTTCTTCATTGTTCCTCGTGTGACCTACCCGGGGCGTCCTTCTGGTTCACCAACCCAGGTGAACGACCGATGAGCTTCGACCTACCTGGGCTGGTCGCTGAGGAGCCCGGCGCGGAGCCGGACGCGATGCTGCTGGTGCCAGGTGGGCGCGGAGGCTGGTCCCGGGCGAGGTTCGACGAGGGAAGCACTGAGCAGCATGCAGGAAATGGCAGGAAGATGCAGTTCAGCAGTTGAGTGGACATGGAAGCAAGATCAGGTCTTTGGGACCACGACAGTAGTCACATGGCACGACAGCTTTCGTATCTTTCGCACAGCCGATCGTCATCGTTGCTGCGGCATGCAGCGGCATGAACAGCGCCCGGTCCTTCCCAACCCGTCGCAACGTGTTTGGATTGGCCCATGGCGTTCCGGTCGTTCACCTTCGTTCAGAACCGGTTGGGGACCTGACCCGCGCGACGCGCGACCTGCGCGAGCCGCGACCGGCGCGAGCCTGGCAGGTCTCCGACACCACAGAACGAGCAGCCGAGAGGCTGGGGGAGACGGAGAGGAGGACCCGTGGAGTGGAAGGAGGTGGGTTCGTTGGCGTGGCGCAGACCATTGGATGGTGTTTTGGGTTGGAGAATGCAGTATGCACGACGAGGTGATGCAGCTGTATGCAGGCAGCAACATGCGACAACCAAGTTTGACAACGACACATTGACTTAGAGTCTAGAGTTCAGTTGAGAGAGCTCCCGGTTGTTGGAATCCTCGAGATTGTGTTCCAAAACTTCCACAAGAATTGAAACAGCTCGTCCACTCCTCAAATGCACATCATCCTCAGGTGGAAGCTGCTTGTTTTGAATCATTGAGGGGCGTAAGGTTACTGTAGAATGTTCCATGGCAAGTCGGTGAGAGTCTTGTCCATAGCGCTGGCTACGGAGGCTTGCAAAGCAAAATCATTCCATCAACTATTGCCATACTTGCAAACACAACCCTGATCATCCCTGATCCACCATCTCTTGAATTAGCACTAGAATACCCCATGAGCTGAGACTCCCCACTCACTTTCTGGCTTTCTACTGGGTTCATCCTTCCTATCTCCCACCCGGCTCCCCGCCGCGATGCCTCCGCCCAGGGCGGCCGTGAGCGATCGCTCAGCAGCGCTCCGACCACCAGCCCCGTGTCCACCGCGGCGGACGCGGACCAGGCTGGGCTTCCAATGGGTCGTTGGAGGTCGTTGGTGGTTTGATGTTGTTTGCAGTTGGCCGGAACTGGCGGGAAGTCTGCGCGGGTTGTATGAAAGCCTTTTTGGGTTGCATGTGGTGGTCGTAAGCTGCGTCGATGCGCAGCGAATTTTGTGCTCATGAACTGGGAACCGTACTTGGTCATGTGGTGAGTGTGTCCGAGAGCCAGGTGGATGAAAAGGCTGAAAGCAGCTGGGCATGAAAGCAGCGGGTGCATGAGGTGAGTCTTAAAGTGGGAGAAGAACTGAAGGGGGACAGACTGAACACGACCGTGCGGGGGGATCCAGGATGTGGTTTTGCTGCAGACACGACATGTGGTGCGGGACACGCTTGCCAAGTGGGGCAGGATGGGTCGGGGGGGTTTCCGGTTTTCAAGCCGGGGAGTTCTGTGCTTTGATACGCTTTTGATGATGAACCGAAGGAAGAGATTGCTCTGGTGGCGGACTGGCGATGCCAAACGCATCCATCCTCCCAATGGACTCGGACCCCTCGTCCCGAGCCCCCCGGCGGGACCGAAGCCGGACGCGCCTGAGAGTCTGTGACAGCTGGTTTTGACCACCAGACCACCTGTCATGGCGAGCAATTCGAGCGGTGCGACCTACGTCCGGACGACCGACCTGCGAATCCGTTTTAAAGGAAGATTTACTACCTGGACCCTCCAAAGGGGTGTCCAATGGACTACCCGTGACTACCCCGCACTACCCCCTTGGAGGGTCCCGGTATAGTCGTTCAGTTTCTGGATCTCCTTGGCAAGCCTTGGCACGTGCTTGATCCGAAGGAAGTCATGTTCAACTGTGCGTTCTCCATCCCCCAGGCTCTGCAGGGTCACTCTACCGAAACCAAGGTCCGGACGGCGCGGGCCGTGCGACGCCCGAAGTGCTGGAAGCACCCGTACCTGCCGGTGAAGCCACTGCGCAGCTCGGTGGGTATAGGTCGGTGCTTGGAGGTCGCAGTAGTTTCAGAGTAGATGGCGCAGACCCCATGTGCTTCGAACTTTGGGGGTCCATATTTTCCGCACCTCTTGCGCCTCTTGGGGTCTTTGCCATCTACCAGCTTCTTCCAAGTGACCTTTTTGGAGTCCCATCCAGTGACCTAGTACAGGCCTGTTTGTGACCTCAAACCAGGGGATCCAAGTTCAGTCACTTAGAAGAACCAGGTACTCGTCAATCCATGCGATGTTGGCAGCGCCCTGCGCAGCGCTGTGCCGTTCCCGAAACGTCGATACTTCGAGCGAAGTGCGACGTCACACGGGGTCCCACGGTGGTGTGATGTCCAAAGCAAGTCATAGGTATTGTCAATGGTATTGCCAGGTGGCTTAAAGGAAGATTTTAAAACAGAGTGCAAGAATTGATCAGAAAAGAACGGCCTTTATAAGAACTGTTGTTGCCACCTTTTCGTTTGGAGATTGTGAAACTTTGAAAGCCTGGGAATCCCCTCTTCTGCTCCTGAGGTCCGCAGACCTGTGGCCATGGCCGAACCCGCGCGCACCACACGCGCGGCGGGCCAGTACTGGAGCAGTGCGGCCGCGGCCACAAGCGTTGGAGCTGGACTTGGAGGCAGTGCTTGGGGCTGCACTGCAGCGAGATGCTTTGGAAGTTTCGAGTCGCGTGTTGACCGCTCTTTTCGTGAATCGAACACGGGGGGGAAAACACGTGAACGAATCCTGTGTGACAGCGCTCTTTTCTTTTCGGCATCTACGCTGCACGTCATGAGATTGCTTGTGAGTCATCTTCGGTCATGTGTTACAATGACCATTCACCACCCATCATCCACCCACGCCCACCATCCCAAGCACTCCAATATGGATCTACATCATGCATGGAACAGGCCTAATGCAACTCGAATGTGGACTTCACTCATGGACTGCATCTCGCCGTCCCGCGTAACGCCCCGTCGCGCGCCGCCTGCGACGCGCCAGTGCGCAGGCGCCACGGACCGGCTCCGAGCCGCGCCGCCGCGCGGGCTCCGAGGAGCTGTGGCGCCCTGTCGCGTCGACGCCAGGAGCTGCGGCCGGAGCGGCTCGGTAATGGTCCAGGGGAGCTTGGATGGTTTTGGAAGGATTTGGGGAGCGAAGCAAAAGGAGATCTGAACATGATCTGAACATGATCTGACTACTTCAATGTGATGTTTCAAACATGCCCGGCGTATGCCTTCCAGGACGACGGCACAGTGGACCGTCGAGGGTGGAGGGGAACGTGGCGTGACTTGGCCAAGTTCGAGTGGTTGGGGTCGGAACGCGCCGGCGGTTCAGTCTCCGGTCTGAAGAACCCGGACACGACCCATGGGACTGCCGGAGCAGTCCGATCAACGGCCAGGGGTGGTGGATTGGGGGGTCAATGTATATTCATATATGGCATCATATGGCAGTCCCATGGAGTGTATGGGTAAATGCCATGGAGACGCACGTCGCACGTGTTGCTCAGCACCCCCGTTTTCGTCCGACGACGACGTCGTAGCGGTCGGACGTCGAACCTCGGTCGACGGGTGCAGAGTGGATAGCTCTGGACTTCGGTCGCTCTGGTCATGTAGACCTTTCTGCAGACTCCGAAGATGAAGATGAAGATATTCCATGTTCTTCCCATACCTTGATCTTCCAAGGGTGCAAACTTATATTATGATATATCATTTCATTTCTAAAAGCCAAGTTCGGCAGACGTGTTGCACAGTTGGAAGATCTAGGTATTTACGAAGAGATTCTACAATCCATGTTTTGGAGAGTTATTAAGGGATTTAAGTGATTGTGATCAGACCCAAGCCTCGTGTACGTGTTGATCATAGTTGATCCCAATCTTTCAACCTCATTATCTCTCTTCAACGGGGCCAAAAGATCAGAGTCCACCCTGGTCAGCCGACCGCCATGACCCGACAGTCCGCCGGGTCGCCGACCGAGGCAGAAGGTCGCCGTGTACGAGGCCTTCCGGAAGAGCTCGCCGCGCAGGCGCCCCATTCGTGGCCTGTCAAACCCTGTCAGAAAATACTTGGATGTGAATTGGATGTGGAGAGAACTCAGAACTTGGCGGATCAAAGGAAGGAAGAGCGTCTTTGGAGTTCTAGGCAGATCCATTTTGGGTGGAGATTGACTGAGGCTTGTTTTGGGAGAAGTGGATACGTTCTATAAGAGAATACAGGGGATGGTTCTAGGAGTCTAGGGGCTAAAGGAGTTCTGCACGTCCCTATCTACCGGCTTACGTCATCCAATGTTGTGCTGTGGCGGCATATTGGAGCACGTTGGATCTTCTTCGCTGAGGGCGCGGGACCATGTTGTGGGATGAAATTTGATGCAGAGAAGAGAATCCTGTATCCAAGAGTCTTCAACAGGTGTGTGTCCGGTATGCAAAAAGATTCTATTCTTGCGCCAGTGTTCAACAGTTTTTTGATCATTGTTGGCAGTTGGCAGCTGGTTGATTTACTCCAAGGCTTGTCTAGGGCCGTGGGGTTTTGGTGATGATTCTTTGGATCGTGGAGACGTTGTCGACCTTTAGCCGGTCGGCTGGGTCGGCTGGGTTTCTGACTTTTTTCTCGAACTTGGGTCACTGAGGACTCAACCTTACTGGGGAGAATGTGAAATGAAGGATATAATTACCTTTCGCTACACTCAGAAGTACCTTTCTTATCCTTTCCCTTCTTTTTATATAGCACCCCCCACACTACTTTGCTTTTGAAGATATGGTCCATATGGACAAGACAAACGGCGAGGACGTGGACAAACACGGAACAGCAAGACAAAAAAGAAACAGTAACAAGAAAACTGCTAGCCATGACACTGCAGAGAGTGTCCAGTTTACACGATACACAAACTGTCCTTTCTCGTCTTTTTTCGGAATCGAGTTTTCACGAAGCGTCGTTTCATTTGCGAGCCTATAGTTCCAGTTTTGGAATCGAGTGTACAGGTGTGCACGAACAGTCGTTTCATTGTCACGCTGGTGACCATGCAAATTCCCCCGCCCACCCACCCCACCCACCAAAGAATGTGTGTAATTGACTATGAACGAGTGTGGCACCTGCATCGAACATGCATTTTTTTAAACAGAAACGTCGAAACAATATTTTTTTCTGGGCCATGTCCGTACGGTGATTTTGGGGAACTTCAAGGGGAATTGGAACTTCAAAGTCGTTGGACCTGGAGGTGTTGGACCGCTGCCGTACGCGGTTGCCAGCGGTGGACCTCGTGTTCCGTACCCTTTTTTTAAAGTGCTTTCGTGCGTGATGTGTTTTTTTTTGTAACAGTAGTTTTGCAACTTCCTTCAGGGCCAACAGGGGAGAGCGTTCGTGTGTGTGTATGTATGCTGTTTGATGTTTTTTTGGTATGGTGTTTGTTTCTTAATGAATTTGTATGCATCTGTTTTTAAATGGTTTTACAGTGTTACATGGAGTGTCTGGGATATAGTCAACTAATAGTTGACTACATCGTCCGCCCACCTCAGATGTCGTTCTCCCAACTGAGACCGCCGGCGTGTTCCGTCACGACCGCTCGGCCAGGGCGGCCTCGGAGGCTTCGGCGGGCTCCGGTAGCTCCGGGGGCTCCGGGCGCTCCGGCCGGGGCGGCTCAGGAGGTGGGATGGAGGGTGGTTGAGGGTGGTGTGGTTGGGGTAGCGGATGATGGACGTGGGGTGTGAGGAGAAAGCGAGGGAAAAGAGCTGTGCAGATGAGTGATCACCCAACCACTCACATTTTGAGCTGCTGCTTTTTCATTGAAAACACAAGCACCAAAATGCTGAAGATGCAGCCCCATCCATCGTTGCAGCATCATGAAACCGAATGCGCTTGCTCACAATTGCAACCACTTGCCAAAGTTGAGTGTCACAGCGCCCAGCCAATGACCAAACTTGACCAAAACACCCAACCAACCACCAAACTTGAAGACTGGGAAGGGGGGGGGCCCTTACTTGAACATTGGATGTGTTCAGAGATCAATTACATTTTTACGCACACTTTTGACGTCCCGTCGGCCACCATGGATAGTGGAAAGCCACCACACCCTCTGGCCGGGTCACAACCCTCTACACCCTGGAAGACTAACATGGACCCTGAAAACCACTGGTTGGTAGAGGAAAACACTCTTCCACGGAACCCATTGTCAGCTCTATGTTAGCTTCCGGCAGTGTAAGCCGATCACACCGCACCGCACCGTCGCACCATCGCACCGTCTTTGGTCTTCTAGGCGGCGCGGAGGAAGCCAGTGCTCCTGGCAGCCCGACGGAGCGGTCGAAGCAGTGGGTCTTGGACTGTTTAGCCCCTCGCACGAAGGTCGTGGTGGAGGATCGGCAGAGACGGCAGAGGGGGCGGGGGGGCAGAGGGCGGGGAGATGGGGCTGGGAGGTGGTTTGGATGGTTTGGTTTGGGGGAGTGGATTATTGTGGATTGGATTTGGTTGGATCTGATTGGATCTGGTTGGATCTGATTGGATCTGCTTGGATCTGATTGGATATGATTGGATGATGTTGAGAAATATATCGCCACCTCGCAGTGGAAGTCATGTGGTGATGCATTGTGTGGTGATGAGTGAGGTGTTGTGCAGCGCAGAAGTGTAGTGGTGTTGGAGATGTGAAGTGGTGGTCTAAGGTGGTGTGGTGTCGTCTTGTGATTGATGATTATTGACGATTGCTGTGAAGTGTCATGAAGTGTAGGGTGGCAAGTCATGTGATGTCCAGTTATGGATCAGTGGTGCTGTTCTTACTCTCCTTCCGTGAGTGGTTCCGTCTGCGTGAGTTTCTGCCCCAACCCCCCCGTTTTGGATCGGCGTGCGAACCGAGGTGGATGCAGGCGCTTTGCAGGTGCTGCAGGTGGGGTCGGGAATGATGTTTACTATGAGGATGTATGCTTTGAACCTCTTTGGTATGAAGATTATGGTCATCCTGCAGGTGGGGCCGCATTGCTTGGATTTAATGAGGATGAAGACCTCTTTGGACCTCTTTGGTATTATGATGGTCATTCGATTCCTCCGGGGAGTCGTTGTACTGGCCCCATCCAAGGTTCCGATTGGTTTAGGATTTGAGGGGACTAATGAAGTGGATATCGATTTGTTCGAACCATTGACACCCAACAGAAAAACCGTGATGTTTTCCCTGGTTTTGACCCCACACCCGTTGGACAACGGGTTTTAGCATCCCAAACATCGTCGTCTCCGCAGCTCCGATCATCGCCTCCACGCCGCAGATGGGAGAACGCGAGGAGGCGGAGCAAGGCCAGTTCGGTTCGGGGCGCTCAGGACTGGGAGGCGAAGCGAATCCGCGGCGAAGCGATCTCGGGAAAGACCGGTTTGGGTTTTTGTTGGAGGAGCGTTGAAGATTCAGGACTTCCATGTGAATATGCTTATATAGTTATATACTATAGTCATGTATGTTCCTGTTTGCTACTGTACATGTGACCTACATCCCCTTCGGGTCCTTCATCATAAATGATTCTCCTTTCTGTTTGGTCTAGACAAGGCGCTCTTGTTTGTTGCCATGTGTCGCAACAAGAAACCGTCGCGCCGCCATCAACCTCAAGACGAGCACACCTGTCGCTCAGCTTTGTACAGTTCTGCGTCTCGCCGGAGCAGCGGCGGGATGATTCACGTAGCTGGGCAGCAAGCGACTCGAGCAGGGTTTGTTCAAAAGCGGTGTTTCAACACCACCAGGGTGTTCAGAGACGTTTACACACTCAAAATGATCACACTTCTTGAGGGCTGTCATGGATTTTGCGTGGCTTGCTTAAAGCATTTTACAGCTGTATGAGTGATTGTGGCTGGCCCCAGAAGATGTTCACCTGTGAATGCTGTGATCCATTCCATCTTTCATCTCTGTTGGGAGAAGAGCCCTAAGAACCTCGCTGCCTCGCTGCGTCCACGGTCACGTTTCCCTCAGGTGTTTAACTGCGCCAAAGAGGTTTGCGCCTTGCCGGGGAAAGCCTGTGTGGAGTGTGGCAAGGTACGCTGGGCCCGTGTTGCGTGTTTTGATGTGTTTTGTGAATTTTGCGTTGGCGTGTGGCGGCAAAGGGGTGACGATAGACTTGAGTGAAGAAGATGAAGACTTATATGGGAGGCATCGGATGATGAGAGTGTTGATGAGTTTTCTTTAACTGATGTGTTGGAAGCTCCAGATTGGGCTGGGTGGATGAAGAATGAAGGAGTGTATCTCTTATACAAGCGTGAACCCCATGTGAACCCCAAAAGCAGCGCCCAGCAATCGGTGAGGTTTGCAGCCAAATCAATTGCGAGCCATGCAAGCAATGTTGCGATGAGCCTGGGCGATGAAGCTGCGTAGCCTGGGCGAGGGATTTTGAGAGATCAGGCGGCAATTGTCAAAGCGGTAATATAACTGGAATTGATGTGGCATATATCCACATGCATCATGTTGAATGTCTTTTAAATTGTTAAGCCACAAAACAGACAGCTGCTCCTTGTTACTCCCCAATGGATCGAACCAATGGTTCGTGGCCCCCACCGCCTCGTCGAATCCTTCGCTCGACTCGGGGTTCCGAGTGAGCACCGAGCGCTGTTCGCCGCGCCGAGCGCCTCATCTCGTCGCCGGGGAAAAGTGGAACCGGAAGACTCCCGGGTTTCTTTTTGGTCGAGTTTCGAGTTGAGATGTTCATCGATCTTCCCTACAAAGAACACATGGATTGACTTTGATTCCCACTCAGACCCCCTGAAAACTTCATGAACGCCTTGCCCTTATCGCACATCTCTCAGCACCCTCAGTCGCCGAACCTTTCGCTTTCAACGCGGCTTTCAACGCGGCACATCGGTCGTTCTGTTTGCGCTGCTCGCTCGGTGGTTCCTCTGCGGCGAAGTCAACGGAGTCGGACGAACGTTCTCGTCCGTCCCCAGGTGGGTCTTCCATCCCCCAAGGCGCCAATTGCGCCTAGCAGCCCTAGCGCTCGGGAGCATTCGGCTAAGGGGAGGCCATCCCTATTAGGTTGGAGGCCAATACAATTAGGTTCCCATTGCTAGTATAAAGCTTCCCCTTAAAGCACCTCAGCACCTCGCGACCGTCAGCGTCCTTTTGTCCCGTCCTTCCGTCGGCGTCGGAGGGACTCAGTCCGCGAAAATCCGTTCTTCGCTTTGATTCGATGAACGAACACGGGCGAGTGAAGTGAACACATGTCCTGAGGAGTGTGGCAAGTTCGTGAGCAGCTATTGGGATCGACCCTTGAGCACCTATGCCACTGGGATGAAACTCATCCCCCCCCACAAACTCCGGGAGACGGCACTGACGGGTGGGAACGGGAACTGACGGGACCGGGACGCCATGGAATCCATGAAGCAGGCAGGGCACTGAGGGGGTTTCTTGGATGCCTGATGCAGAACTGAGTTGGGGGAAACACTGAGAATCCCTCCAGTTTTTCATGAGCCGATTGTCCACCTCGCATGTCCAGAAGTCCAATAGAGATGGTAACCTCGCTTTGGTATACTCCTAAACCATCCTAAACCCTTATAGCCCCTTTGGTTCACAAGGAATTTTCCTGCAAAATCCCTAAAGGTTAAACCCTTAGCAGAAGATCTAAGGACAAGCAAAGGGAGTACACTGTACACCCATGTCAAAGGCCCGACAGTTTCTTGCACAGCCACGCGGTGACACCAGCTTCGGGAAGACTGAGCCGACAGGGATGGCATGAACCACTTCAGAGGTCCGGGACCCACCATGGGGAGGGCACTGAGGGGTGGGACGTTTCTGGTGAAACATATCGTGGACTTCAAGTCGACCATGTTTAAAATGATCTGGTTTTGTACTGTAAGGCCCTTAGTAAAACAATGGTGGTTCGGTAAGGGCTATTAAAACCCTGGTGGTTCGACTTCTAGGGTACATCTTATTATATATACCTCCTCAGATTGCCATGTTCTTGTAGTGTTTGCGATCAGTAGAAACTGCACGATACCATCGGTTTTGCATCCTTCAGAAAACTGATTGTATCTCTGCAGCTTGGTTCTTCAAACTGAAGGAGATGTTTGTGATTCCCTGGCCCAGGTGATTCTGAAGGTCCTGATGGCCTCCGCACAGCTTTACTTCTGTGCCCTGGAAACGTTTTGAGGCCATGTCAGGCCGCAAATCTGGGGGAGCATCCATCGTTCAGCCCATTCGAGAGAGAGAGAGAGAGAGGGAATCGTCCCATGGAAGTCGAGGTCCATGGAGCCATGGACCCCCTGGAATGTGGACCAACCCAGAAGGCATGCACTGCTTCGCACTGTGCTTTGACGAGCAGTTTGACCACCATATGATAATCATTTCAGTGGATTCTTTTTATGTCTGACACACCTCGAGCTGAAGATTAATTTCTGCGTGCGAGCCAAGATTGCTGGAGCCACAGCTGCTTGCATTGACGGATTTTGCGTCGCTTGCACCTGAGGTGCTGCGGCCTTGGGTACGAAGATCATCAAGAGTTGCTTGGGATTGACTTGATCAGCCGGGGGCGGCCCTTTTTTTTCCACCTTCCATGGAGCCTCCATCTTTGGAAGCTACATGAAGCTTCCAAGCCCATGAGGCTGAAGAACAGAAATTGGAGTATGAAGACATCGCAGTAAAGGAGCATTTAATGGCAAACCAAACTGAAACGCCGCTGGGAGTGGTTAAACCAGCTAAAGTTAGATGATCCATCAGAAACGCCGCGGATGTTGGATGTGGACGATGGCCCCTCTCAAGCCACGCTCTTGCTGGGCCGCTAGGCCCCTTTCAGAGAAGAAAGGGAGCCGGTGGTGGAAAGGATCGAAGCTTGCGCGAGTTCTCCGAGAGAAAGGGGAGAACAAACAGGTGTTATGAGCCTCCCAAGTCGGGGTGTTATACTCCCAATGGTCTTGCCCCTTCTTACTTCAAACTTCCTCTTTCCAAGCTGGCCGCCAGCTGATGCCAAGCTCGGAGAGAGCCTTTTTTTTGTGATCTGCCAGCGCTGCAAAAGTATACTGACTACACTCCCTGGCATCATGGTTACGTGGATGGCATCGATCCCAGCAAGGACTGACCCCTTTCCGAAGACCCAAAACCGGTGGCACCTTCCACTTCGAGGATTCCAGGGATGGATAGGTCTTGGCTTCGGATGCCCAAATAGAGTCGGGGAGGTCGACGCGGCCGCGGGGTGCTCTCTTTCTTATGGTGCCCCCGGTGGCTGTCCACCGGTGGCGCACCGAGGTTGTCCGGCGGAGAGACAAGGAGCCCATGGGTGTCTCCGGTTTTGGGGCGCGTCCAGACAGGAAGCACTATGGACTAGACAGAGGTGACCAGGATATGCCAGGATGAAGAAGCGAAGAAGCAGGGTAGTCCCATGGCTGTCGGGCATGGCTACAGATTCACGGAGGGATGAAGGGTGCCGCACCGCACGCAGCGTCAGGCACATACGCGCAGGTGAGGCTTAAGCACTGCCAAGATTTCATCATGAAGCCAGAGATTGTTCATCTCTTTGTTTCTGGACATGGCCTTCTTTTCGAGACTGGCCTTTTCGTCACTCGAGTTTGACACCCCTGCCGGGCCGCCTCGCGGGGTCCGGCACCCTCCAAGCCAAGCCCACAGGAGGCTGGGTGAGCGGGGAAACGTGGCTCCAGATCCAAATGGGCTTTGCCATCGTCCACATTCTCTTCGCTCCGTGCGCTCCGCCTGCTGGTCGAAAGTTTTCGCCATGTGCGTTCAGGTTGGCTCCGGTCGGTGTCTCACAGGCGACTGTTGTGACTCTGTTTCAAGGGGAGTGTGGTGCTCCGGTGATTTCGATCCTCCATCCATGTGTGGAATATTGTATACATTGACCCCTTTTCAACCACCCCAGTACTGCAGGTCAATATGTCAGTCCCGTGTTTTTCTGCGCGATCAGGACGCCTTGTTTGCCCGGTCCAGGACTCCGGACGTTCGGTTTCTTGTTGGTCGAAGGGAGTCGAACTCATCGGAACCCCATGGAGTTCGGGTTGAACCCAAACACCTAATAGCGTCCTTGTTACTAGTAGGAAAGGCCAGGAGCCCCTAGTAGCGTCCTTGCTCCTAGTAGCGATGCCCTTTGCTCCTAGTAGTACACACAGACACACAATAACCCTAAACTCGGCTGCCACGCGGGTTCGCCGGTGCCAGTGCCAGACTCTGAGACAGGACTCTGAGTCCGACAGGGGGGTTGCATGCCCATCTCCTATTATGATGTGGAGTAAAACAGCATGACACAGGTGTTTCTTGTTTGGTTCCTTGACTTGCCAACATCTCCCAACTGAAGCCCGCGAAAAATATCATAGTTCTGGAGAAT